GTGTGAGTAGGCTTGCTTTTTGGTTTAAGGAAATTGAAGTGCAGGGGTCATGTTGCCCAGAAACACACAGCTAGGCAATGGAAGTGTGTGTGTGTGTGTGTGTGTGTGTGTGTGTGTGTGTGTGTATGTGAGAGAGAGAGAGAGAGAGAGAGAGAGAGAGAGAATGAGAGACAGACAGACAGAGATGAGAAATTTGGTTGCTGTGCAAGTCCCATTCTGAACTGCTGGTGCTGGGGGGACAGCTGCTACCCTTTAACATATTCCAGCCGGCTTGAGCGATTGAGGTATATATATGACTGTCCCACTGATGGAACTGTCCCATGCTGCCCAGTGGGACAGTCATGCATAGACACCAGCGGTTCAGAGCTGCCTGGCAACAACAAGGCATACAAATTATGGCTCCATCATGAAGGGCCCCATGATGAAGGTGTTAAGCAGGGCCTGCTTAATGAGTCTAAACACTATTGGCAGAACTATTATAGACTTTTCTGTAGCTGAGGGTGAAGGATGGTGGGTGATAAAGAGCAGCAGAAAAAAAATTAAAGAATAAACAACTTTCCAGATTCAACAATGGAAATGAAAACATTGTGGGAGCTTTCACAGGCACTACCACAGAAAGACTTTATACTCAGCTGGGCATGTACATGTAGACCCAGCATGCTGGGAAGCTGACTCAGGACGATCATAAGTTTGAGCCCAGACTGGGCAACTTAGTGAGACCCTGTCACAAAAAAATAAAACCAGCTGTGGTGCTGCACAGCTGTAATCCCTAAGCTTAGGAAGCTTAGGCAGGAGGATTGTGAGTTTGCGTCCAGTCTGGACAACTTAATGACTTAGCAAGACCTTGTCTCAAGATACAAAATTAAAACAACAGTGTTGGGGGCTGGGGATTTAGCTCAGTGGTGCCACCGCCTGCCTTGCAAGTGAAAGGTCAAGGTCCTGAGTTTGATCCCTGGTAGCAAAACAAAAACAAAAACAAACAAAAACCAACAGTGTTGGGGATGTAGTTCAGTGTGAAGGCCCTGCAAAAATACCCCAAAATCAAAACCAACAATAACAAACCAACTTTATACTCAAAAGTTTTGCTGGCAGAGTGAAGCCCTTGCTCTGCAGAAGGCAGTCAGCAAAGCTCCCTTAGGAAGAAGCCTCAAGAGGCCTGCTCTCTGGTTTTGTCTGGTACTGCATCCCACATGCTGTTTTAGTGGCCTGGCTTCTGCCACCGCAGTGCAGTCCTGGTCACCACAGGTGGACTCTGGGAGCCCCCTGCCTGCTGTGGCCTTGAGCCCATGGGAAACTCACCGAGAGGGTAAGGAGTGAAGGTATTGGGTGAAGACTGCTGCTCTTTGGTCTGCAGGTCAGGGAGGCCTGGAGTCTGGGGGTGCGGGGGGAAGCTGTCCATGGCCGATTTGCCTGCAGAGGGGTGCAGAGACAGGTGCGGCGGGGGTGGTGGTGGAGGCTGCTTCACGAGCAGTGCCTGGGCCAGCTGGCGCTGGTGCTGCTGGATCTGCTGCTGCAGATTAGTGATTGTGCGCGCAACCTGGAAGGAAGACACACACACACACACACATACACACACACACACTTTAGCCAGGTGTGAAGGGACCTGCGTGGCTTGTCTACAAAGTGTTTTCACACTGAGGTGTCCACTGACCGGGGCTAAGCCCCTCTCAGAGTCCACCCCAAGACTTCTCAAAGGGGAAGCCTGGCTGGAGAAAAATCAACAACAGTCTAACAGTTCATCAGTGAGAATCTCCTTAACCCAGGAAAATTACAGCTAATGTGGATAGCCAATCGGGCAACACCTACTTGCTGCTCCTGTTGTCTCATGGGTCCGGAAACATTACGCTGGGCCTGTAACATCTGCTGCTGGATTTGTAAACGTTGGTATGCCTGTTGACAGAAAGAAAAGCTAGAATTTTTCTCTTTTCTTTTTTTGTTTTGTGGTACTGGGGACTGAACCCAGGGGAGCTCTACCACTGAGCTATATCCTGAGCCTTTTAATTTTTTCTTTTGAGACAGTGTCCAGGTGGGATTTAAACTTGTGATCCTCCTGCCTCAGCTTCCCAACTTCTGGGATTATAGGTGTGTGCCAACCTGCTTGGCTGAGAGTTAGAATAAGTATTATACAAAAGCCATCAATAAATGATTCAACTTTCTGATATAAGGCAATGAAAAGGTTTATTCTCAGGGTCTAGGGATTTAGCTCAGTGGTTCTGGCGCCTGCCTCGCAAGCGTAAGGTCCCAAGTTCAATCCCTGGTACCAAAAAAAAAAAAAAAGTTTATTCTCATAATTCATCTAGCCAGGTATGTCTAACATGTGGCCATAGGGGCACTAGCTCTTTTTAAAAAATGCTGTAATAGGGCCGGGGATTTAGCTCAGTGGTTCTGCTGCCTGCCTCGAAAGCACAAGGTCCCGAGTTTTATCCCCGGTACCAAAAAAACAAAACAAACAAACAAAAAATGCTATAATAAAACATATTACTTTATATATATTATTCATATATTATGTTGGTACACATCTGTAATCCCAACATTTAGAGGCTGAGTCAAGAGGATCACTGGGAGTTCGAGGCCAGCCTGGGCTACACAGTGAGTTTAAGACCAGCCTGAACTACATAGTGAGACCCTGTCTCAAAACAAAAAACAAAAAACAAAAAACCCAGAAAATTTTATTATTTATATGCATTAATTATATTAATACATTTTACACATGGCCTAAGACAATTCCTCTTAATTCAATGTGGACCAGGCCAGAATGGCCAGAAAATGTAGCAGAATAGTACAGTAAGTACAACAACTGAATAGTGCAACAAGTGTCCTAACTGTGGAGTAACACATATTAAATAGCTTCTAAGGACTTGGAGGCCATGTGATTATCTCAGCCAACATCACAGGGAATTAAAGCTAGAAGAGAAGCTGAACTAAGGATTTGTGGACTCCTCTGTCACATAAACCTGCCATCAAGGTTGGCTGAAGTGACCATGATATTCTTCTGTACAATGATATGCAAGGTTTGCTTGTATGATTATTTTGAAAAGTTGGTTCACAGATTTTTTTTCTTACATGAATTTCTGGGGACATTTTGGCAAGAGGACTTAAAGATAAGAGAGTAACTAATAAAAGTGCCTTGCCAGGTGTGGTAGTGCACGCCTGCGATCCCAGAACTTGGGAGGCTGAGGCAGGAGGATTGCCACGAGTTCAAGGTCAGCCTGGGTTACATAGTGAGTTCAGGGCCAGCCTGAACTACAAAAGGAGACCAAAAAACCAAAAAACCAAACCAAAACAAAAAAGTGCCTTGTTAATTATGGAGGCATAAAATATCTTACTTCAGTGAATCTCTAGGGGCCTAAAACTTAAACATTAGGAAGCAACAAACTTTATTTCTCCATTTTTTTGAGGGAAAAAACTGAAGAAGAGAAAACATTACGTCAACATTTTCTTGAGTCTTCTACACCATATCTTAGTAACACCCCTTGGGTAACAGAAGGACCTCACTCGGCCATGCCTGTAGTAAGCTAGGCAAGGCTCCGAGCCCTGTGTTCTCTCTACATGTGTGCTGTTGTTCCCACAAGGCCTTCTTTCCTCCTCCCTGACAGGGACTGAGAGCAGCAGGAACACCTGTGCCTGGGGGTGGCACCTGCACTCAGCGGGGCCTCACCACAGAAATCACCAGTGCAATGACTCCCTGCTGGATCAGGAAAGATCCTAGGGCCACATACTGCTCCACGTATGGAGCCCTGTGCTCTTTAGGAAAGCAAGGACGTGTTCAGTGTCTCTAGGACACCTACCTCCTGTCATCCCCTGCAACTTACAGAAGAAAAGGGACACTCCAACTTAAGAGGTGTGCCTGGAACAGCGTAAATGTGGGCCTGAGGACTCTCTGAGAAGGCAAGGTTCTACACCGATGGTTCTGTTTAATAGAGCAACCCATAACTACTCTCCCTCCATGACTCCTGGTCATTTTCTAGGCAACAAGGATGCTAGATAAGACTTTAAATCATGTGCATACTCTTAAGGAATGAAATAAGCTAGTGTGCTGGTGCATAGCTGTAATCTCAACACTTGGGAGGCTAAGGCAGGAGGATGGCTGAGTTTGAGGCCAGCCTGGGCTACACAGTGAGACCGTATTTCAAAACACACACACACACACACACACACACACACACACACACTCTCTCTCTCTCTCACACTCACCCCCCCAAATGAAATAATACTCTAAGCCTTTTAATGTATATAAATTCAGGCTGGGCATGGTGGTGCATGCCTGTAATCCCAGAATTCGGGAGGCTGAGGCAGAAGGATCACCATGAGTTCAAGGCTGAGCTGGAATACATAATGGGACTGTCTCAAAAAATCAAAAAAAGGGGCTGGGGATGTGGCTCAGTGGTGCTGCGGCTGCCTAGCAAACACAAATGATCCCTGGTACCGCAAAAAAACCCCAAAACAAAACAAAACAAAAAAAATCCAGTACATCAAGAGATATGATGACATGCCATTTTATGGTAAAAGCAGTATGGTTGTTTGAAAATTAAAAGTTCAATAATGTTAAATTATAAAAAGCTTTAAAGAATTATTGGGTTATGTAAGCCATTCTCAACCAGAGATGTGTGTGAGAATAAAGCTCTAATGCTCCAAACCGTCCATCACAGATAAGGCAGGAACTTCATTCCGACTTGTCCAGAACAGTATTTTTGCACACCACCCTTAAAAGACCTGGGAAAACAGTCCCTCATGTGCTGTTTTGTGTTCTGTGGTTCAGGTGAGAAATTAGCTGAGACCTCAGAGGAAAACACAGGCCTAATTATGGGACTTTCTGATCATAGAGGAGCTGAAAATTTTACAAAGCTTAGTAAAAAAACCCTTAAGCAAAAAACCTTAATGTACTAAAACAGTCTCATAATATATCCAGATGTGCAAAAAATGCTATAGTAACTGTCAGTGGTGTGTTCGTAACCTGGGTGACTTTCCACTCACCAGCTGCAGCTGATAGAGCTGGTTCAACATCGTCATATGCTGAGGATTAATGGGCGAGGTTAATAGTGCAGGGTTGAGACCAATGTTTTTTGCTGCAAACTGCAAAAGCTGTGCTTGAACCTGTTTAAAATAAAACATATGATTAGCCATCATATCTTTATTAAAACATTTATTTGTCTGTATAGTGTTTTTGTGACTCAAAATGATTAATTAACAATTGTATATGTTTCAAGGTTGAGCTTCAAAGGCTGCTCAAACATTTGCAGACATTTTCACATTAGTAGCTGACATGTTAAGAAGAAGGAAGGAGGGAGTCTTTGAAGAGATTTCTTCTTCCAGATACTGAAGTCACACCTGAGCTGTTCTGTCCACAGTCCGGGGTCATTTCTATCAGTGACTGAGTTCCTGTTCTGCCACAGTGGAACCTTGAGGCCCAGAGGTGGGGGAAGACTATTCCCACTGGCTGGCACCTCACCAGGGAGGCAGGGATGTGTGTCTCACACAGGTCCTTGGACTGTTTCGGCCGCAGCTGACACCACCAGGAAGCTCAGCAAGCCCTTCTCCCCTGCACGTGTACCTGCTTAGGATGCTGTCAGCACTGCCGCGTGCAGAGGTTGCTCTCAGTGGGTGTCACTGCTCCCAGCCTCTCCGCAGAGCAGCCCTGATGTGTATTTGCTGCCAACTCAGGACAGTCTCTAACTGGAACTCACTACTCCAAGCCAACAGCACCTGGATGTGTTATTTCAGTGTTCAAACATCAGACATACCTTCACAGTGCAGGTAGAACACAGTTGAGCATTTTTTACTGTAATAGTGGTCTAGGATGTATTAGAAAAATACTGATTTTTCTACTTATGGTAGACATGCAAAATTTTTGTGTGTGTGCTTTTTTTTTTTGGTACCAGGGATCGAACTTGGGTCCTTACGCTTGCGAGGCAGGCAGCGGAACCACTGAGCTAAATCCCCAGCCCCTTGTTCGTGTATTTTTTTTTTTTGAGGCTTCAATATTTTATTCAAGTTTTATCTTAAGTGATGCTAATTACAGCATTTGTGCTCATGTTTTTTAAGACAGGGTCTCATTATGTAGTTCAGGCTGGCCTTGAACTCATGGTGATCCTCCCACCTCAGCCTCCTGAGTGCTGGGACACTCCTGTGTGTGCCATCATGTCCGGCCCACACAGTTTCATTTAAAAATACATTTAAAGATAAGTCAATTTAAAGAAAAGAAATACGTAATAGCACAGGTAAAATGAAAACATGGAGAGAACTGTGAGATGGCACAGAGATGACTGATGCTTGGGACATGCTAGTCTGCACAGTCCACTAACTGTGGTCTTCTGCCTCTGGCCCACGGATCAGGTGTGGCTCTGGTGCTGGGTCTGGGCACTGGGACATGACTGTAAGTAGCCCAGCAAGTATGCAGCCATAACATGCAGGGGCTTCCCCTGCTTTCCTCTCTTCTTCCCTGTGGTGGAAACAACTGTGGCAGAACTGCCCGTGAGCTGTGAACTGCCCTGTCTCCACTGTCACAAGAGAGCTGGAGGCTCTCTTTGTTAAGCTGCTATCTGCTGTGGCCCATCTGTTATAGCAGTTTACACTGTGTCCTAACGAACACACTTATCTATTATTCCACCGGGCTCTCTACGTCTCAACTCTGTACACAAACATGGAATGGGAGTGAGAGTTACTTCCAGCAAATTCCCTGCTGCATGCCTGCCCTCTTCTGTGTGCCAACAGAGTCTTCCTATGTGCTACACTCTGAATGTCTGTGTCCCCCAAACTCCTGCTGAAACACAATCCTTACTATAGCAGCACTAAGAGATGGGACCTTTGGGAGGTGATTAGGTGCCCTTAGCAAAGAGGCCTGAGGGAGCTCATTCACCCCGTGCCACATGAGGATGCACAGACGATACCCTCCATGAGGAATGAGCTCCCCAACACTAAATATAACCAAATCCTCTGGGGCCTTGATCTGAGACTATCCAGCCTCCAGAATTATGAGCAATGGATTCATGGTGTTTATAAATTACCCAGTCCAAGGTCTTTTGTTACAGCAGCTCAAAGGAACAAAGACACCGTATTCCAACAAACTAAACTAAAATTTATATTTTATGGACTAACAGAAGATAGATACAGTGATGGCGAACCTTTTAGAGATGAGCGCCCAAACTGCAACCCCAAACTCACTTATTTATTGCAACGTGCCAACATTGCAATTAAGCTTGAATACTGAGGTTTTAGTTTAGAAAAAACTACTTGTACATTGACATCTTTTGTCTTAAAAAAAAAAAAAAAAATGTGTGCCACAGGTTCGCCATCATGGGTTAGCCTATTCTCTTTTGAAACAGGCTGAAAAAAAGGTTCCTTAGAAATCCCAAATATCTTCTTGGTAACAGAGGTCATTTAGGGAAGAAAGTAGTTTTTCCTCTGCCAGAAGAATGGTAGACAGTGATGGAGACTTCAAAATGCTTTTGTTCTTCCCAAGCAGGGCTATGAGTCCTTCTCTGCCCCAGAATTAAACATCGGGTAGAGCTCTGAGTTAGCCCAGGCTCAAAGAGGTCATCAACATAAAATAATTCATTACTGAGTGTTCTTACAAGGGTAGGGACTGTCACACTATAATTAAAAACTTAGTCCAAACCCTAAAATTATGGAATGTTCTAAAGGTAAACAGTATTAGTATGAAAAAAATGGGACTCAGGAGGCCATGGAGCTATGTAAAACAAGATCTTTCTTTTTTTTGTGGAACCAGGGATCGAATTCAGGACCTTGCTCTTGCCAGGCAGGTGTGGTGTCACTGAGCTAAATCCCAGGCCTCAATATCCTTTCTTTAATTCCACTTAATCTTTTTCCTGTTAGAATCTTTCTAGGCAAAATGACCTACTACTAAATAAAACTATAAGTCCACAATGCCTATGACTTTTTGTCTGTGATCACATGTGGTCCCACGAGCATGACTCACTCGTGGGTGGTCTTGGATGGTTTCCTTAATGTCCCTCACAACAGTGCAGCCCGCCCCCTTCTCTTCCAGTAACCCAGTACCACCAACAGTTTTACTGAGCAGCTTTCTCAATCTAGAGTAGGGGGAGTCAGGCCAGCAAGTGTGCTGGATGCTCTCCTCCCTGTCAGAGTCACTCCAACCTGCTGATGCCTGTGTCGGGTGTGGGTGGCTCAGCCTGTCAAGAAGCAGACTCGGGCTGGGGATTTAGCTCAGTGGTTTCACTGCCTGCTGTGCAAGCGCAAGGACCTGAGTTCAATCCCCGGTACCAAAAACAAACAATCAAAAAAACTATTAAACTTAAGTATGCGCATTTAAATTAAAAAAAAAAAAAAAAAGCAGACTCTGAGGAAATCTCTCAGGGCAGGAGAGTCAGTTTACTACTTGATGGATTAAAATGCCCATAGGTTACAAATGGAAAGGCCTCCTCAATTCAGCTCTCACTTTAAAAGAGACTTTGAGGTTGCACAAGTCCCCACCACTTGCCCCTGGCCCCCTGTGCCTCCAGCTGGGCCACTAGTCTGACCTGAGGGGATAGAAACTGAGGCACTTGAGCACGGAGGCTGGGCTGGGAGGAGTTAAGAGGCTGCACTGGTGGCTGCGGCGGCTGCTGCATGGTCCTGGCTTGTGCTGCTCCGCTATTGCCAAACATACCCAGATTGCCACTCGGGATCTGTGGGGAGACAGAATGGATGGTCAGGGAGGCAGCAGTGAGGTGGGCTGAGTGGGGAGGCTGATGTTTATTAACCACGATGCAAGGTTGCTTCTGCTTCCTTTCACTGTCCCCAGCCACTGCTCTGGCACACTCAGGATGAGTGCGGGCCATACTGGTTATGGAGGCTGAGAATGAAGCTGCTTATGTTTTTAAATCATAGGAGCCACATGACAGTGTATTTTAAAATGTCCCCAGACAAGGCTATCAACTTAAACCATAACAACAGTGTTTCAGGCATCAGCAACAAGGACATGGCTGTTTGTGTGACAGACATTTCCAGAAGGCTGTGGTAAAACAGAGTAAGAGTATGTGGCATAAATTACCATTAACCTGGAGAAAAATGACATTTCAATTCTATTTGTTTCTTGAGACAGGCTCTTGCTTTGTTGGGCCTGAACTTGCCTCAACCTCCCAAATACCTGGGATTACAGGTGAGTACTATTTCATCCAGCAAAAGCAGCATTTTCAAACAGGAAACAAAGCTACTATTTCAACAAACCCTGAAAATGAATCAACTGGCAAATCCGGGTAGTTAATTTAACCTTGTATTGAACATAATAAATATATTTTGGATGTCTTTTCCACTGTGTCATGAGCTACCTAACAAACAGATGGAGTAAGATACACTCCGATTTCTCTTGGGAGAGCCTATGGGCCCTGTGAGGCTGCCAATGTGCAAGTGGCAGAGCATATGAAATGCAGACTTCCCACCACTCTCCACCGGGCTAGCAATGGCAAGAGCTCTAGGATGGTGCACAGGGCCAGTTGGGAGCTGCTGGGAGTGGATAAGGCCTGCTGGTAATTCCATGGGACACAGGCACAGAGGCACTGTTCAGCCTCCCAAAGCAGCATCTCCTTGAAGAGAAGTGCAAAGGCGTGTACAGGCCCATCCCCAAGAAAACCACTGAGCAGGCCTGCTTTGCATTCAGGAAGCACACTGCCTGGTGATGACCACATTTCAAAGGACCCACAGGAAGGTGGGGCGGGAGGGCAGGCAGGCAGTAAGACATCTCACACAGGGATTCCACCTATGCCAAAGGGACCTCTGGGCACCTCCCTGCGAGAAAGGCCACCTCCACATCTGGGGAAAGGGGCAACAAGTGGTGTCTTCTCTCAACTGCTCAGCATCACACCAGCATTTAAACTAGCAGAAAGTTAGTACCAAGGTGCAATGAGGAGCTCAAATATATTTTAGTGAAGTATAAAAACTTTGAAGCATATCCTATCACATAGCCAAAGTATATAACTTTGAAGCATATCCTACATAGCCAAATTCAAGAACTTTTATTCTTTTTTTTTTTCCTTTGGGTGGTAATGAAGCTTGAACCCAGGGCTTCAACACTGAGCTATAGCCTTGGTCCTTTTTATTTATTTAATTTTATTTATGTATTTTTCTTTTTTGGTATCAGGAATCAAACTCAGGGCCTTGTGCTTGCTGGGCAGGTGCTGTGGCGCTGAGCTACATCCCCAGCCCTTTATTTTTTTAAATTTTGAGACAGGGTCTTGGCTCAGTCAATAATTTGCCCAGGCTGGGCTTGCACTATCTCAGTTTGAGCTTTAGTCTCAGCTTCCCAGAGTATTGGGGTGACAGAAGTGTGCCATCACAACTAGCCATCATTTAATTCCTGACTCTGGTAAATCACCTGAAGGAAACTCCCCTTACGTATTCTATCTTCTCAACTACCCTTATGCATTATATTCTCTTTTAAAATAGAGGTATTAGCTAAAATAAGAGTGTCTATAACACACTTTTTTTTTTGGCACCAGGGATCGAACTCAGGACCTTGCGCTTGCGAGGCAGGTGGCAGAACCACTGAGCTACATCCCCGGCCCCCCAACACACTTTTTAAGAGGCAAGTAAACAGACCACAACCTCTTCTCTCCCAACAGCCTTACCTGTCTAGAAGAGTTCAAGTTTTGCATGCCCAGCCCTGAGGCAATCCCACCCAGGGCCTGACTGGGGAGTGCACTGTTGGAAAGAGGGAGCTTCAGGCTTGGGGAAGGCAAAAATGGTGAAGTCGTGGGCTCTTCCACGAGGCCGCCATCCTGATTGGAAAAAGAAAGGGTGAGCTGTGTGCAGTGTCCATCAGCAGACAAAGCACCGAACAGTTTCCCAAGGAAATAAAGAGGGATATGGGTGGATAAAGAATTAAAAGATCAAAAAAGCGTGGATAACAAGGGAATGGAGAACATGGGTAAAAGGAAGAGGGGAAAAAGAAAAAGAGAAATATGATTAAGATACTGTTTTTATTTTTAAAACATTTAACAAACATACATTAGTTTGAGGTACTCTCAGACACTGTGGCCTCTCTAGGTAGAGTAAGGAGAAGGGAGCAAAAGTGTGAGCCAGGTCTTATTTGGAGAACCCTTTATAACCATTTTCAAATATACAGGTTCTTTATGAGAGATGACGACTAAAGCTCTTAGGTATATGAGGCTGAATTCTGATATTTACTTGCTTTTGACCTACACATTCAGCAGTTTCACAGGGTTTAACAAGAGGGTAGTTATGAAACAGACAGAATCCTATTCAATTTTTTTTCAAGATTTATTGCGGCCACTGTACATGCCAAGACTTACAAATTTATCTCATCTAATAGTACAACCAGCCCGGGGTCTAACTCCCCATTTAAAGGTAAGGAAACAGGTCAGGGTCCCACACTTAGGATTCCCAGATTTAGCAAATAAAAATACAAGATGCCAAGTTAATTTGGAATTTTAGATGAATAATTTTTTAGTGGATGCTCCTGGCTACTCTAGCGACCAGCTTTCTTTCTATTTTTTTGTGGTACTGGCAACCCAGGGACACTCTACCATTCAGCTACATCCCTGCTGGCCTCTTTTACTTTTTTATTTCAACAGGCTCTGAGTTGCCCAGGATAGCCTCAAACTGTGCTTCTCCTGCCTCAGCCTCAAGTGTACCTGCGATTACACACAGCCCAGCTTTCTGAAGCAGAATGTGTGGTGGAGGGCTCCAAGAACAGAAAGAATGTTCCCTTGGGGATGTTAAGGTCCTTTATTGGAGCCTTTCTGTTTATTTCTGGTACTAGGGACTGAACTCGGGACCCTGTGCTTGCCAGGCAGGTGTGGTGCCACTGAACTACATCACCAGTCCTCCTTTATTTTTTCAACCTGTCCTTTTTGCTTCAATTTTACTTTTCAGGGTTCAGCATCCTGACTGAATGTAATGTGATGCTTGCCCCCTGTGTAGTCCCATCAGACTGGAGGAAGACACGAACCCCTGACAACACTAGAAGGACTGAGCTCGCTCTGGTTTCTAAGCGTCCAGGGAGCTTCCCAAGACACTATGGTGGGAAAGGCATCTAGGCTCAGGTACCATACTCCACTACTTCCCTTTTTCTGAGGTGAAACATGCAACATATTTCTAAATGGAAGATCTGTGAATTTAAAATCAGATAGCAAAACAGAAATTTGATGATCCTTGTGTACTGGACAAATTGAAGCAGATACCAGTCAAGTTCACACAATGAAAATGAAAATTGATTTCAATTCCAGCATTTTTTATCACATGTTATGTGAAATACATCTCCTCTTTAACATTCATATAGATAGACAGGCATCTCTCTTTCTCCACCTCTCTATCACAAAAAAATAGGTAAAAGTCACTTATATACAACAGTCCAGCAAGTTTTTAACCTGACTTACATCAAGGACACAGTTAAAATGAAAACATCTCTTGTTAAAAAAAAAAAAAACTGTCTAAATCCGTACCTTGTCAAGAAAGGTGGGGCGGTCCATGGAAGACTCTTTGGAGATTGGTGGGCGGCAGCCGAGGGGTTTGGTGACCACTCCATTGTAGTCGGTCACTCCCAATCCACGCTTGTCCATGTCCACCTTCTTTTCCAGCAGAGCGCCTGGGGCACAACGAAAGCAACACAAAAATTAAGCATGGTTACCAGAGCTGCACTGGACAGCCCTGGCAATAGCCTTAGGGAGACCCAGAGAAGGGCAGGGGTAAAACCAGAGCACACCTGCTCAGCACCATGCTGCATGCTCGGGTGGCTTCAACACCCGGGACTGTGCCCTGCCCGCTTCTGCCCTCTGCCCCGTCCCTGCTCCTCTCCACTCTGGCCACACTGGCCCCCACTGGCCCCTGGGATGAACCCTGTCCCCCTAGAGCCCCATGCGCTTGCTTCCTCCCTCCACCCATCATATCTCAGGGGCTTTCCCTTCCTGATGACCCAACTTGGGGAGCTCTTCTCCTACCTCCTGACCATCACTTCCCACATGCTGAGCAGTTAGGACACTGATTCTGTCCTCACTGGTCTTCTAATCTAGTCACCAGCAGTACTTGTTTGGCCCATTTAAGCTTTGCACTATTTTATCTGAGAAGTTGGAATTCACTGCTTCAACTCATGCTGGTGGTTCCTGCCCTAGTGTCTGAACCACATATTGTGACACCTCCACGTGATTATACCGTCTATCTATAATTCATGGAGTTGATACCTGAAAATGTGCCTACTCACTGAAATTTATTTGTAACTCAAAGATTAGTAAATACCATAGCACTTTTGTGGTTATTTGTGGACATGAACAGACTGGCAGATCTGAGTCACCTGCATTTCCACATCCAGCTCAGATCCAACAGGGTGATGCTCTGCCTTCTTATTTCAGATTTCACATGGTCAAGTGTCCTTTTTGTGGGCCACTTAGTACCACATTTTTCATATTTTTGTACTTTTTGTTGGTGATTTTGCTGTGTAAAATAGCCCCCCATGTATGGCTGCAGACTGTCTAGTGTTCCTAAGTACAAGAAGGGTGAGCTGTGCTTTTCAGGGAAAATGTGCCATAAGAAGTTTCCTTCAGTACTGTGGATCGGAGGCTCAATGTCAATAAATCGGACAGAGGAAAAAAAAAAAATCAAACAATTCACCTAGCAGGAGGAAGAGGAAATCACTCAGGAAGTGCTAATGTGACACTCACAGAGCCATGGAAAAGCTACGGAAGAGATGCAAAAGTCGCTACTTCTGTGGATTTCTGAGATGACTGATTTAAAAAGTGAAGTGGCAGCACTGTTATGAGTCTGAAAGCAACAAAATTTGTCACATTATCCAGCTCAAGAAGATGTCCAACCCTTCCTGGCTCATGTTTTATTACACAGAAATAGGACATATAGTTATTTGTGAGAAATATGTATTAAGTAGGGTATCTTAAAACAGAAACAAAATAAGGCTCTGAACAGTCAGTAGATAAGAATGTGTGCAGAGGAACTCTCCCCTTGTTTCCCCAGCAGAAGGGGTTCAGTATTTGCTAATTCAGTGTCTGCAGTGGCTTCACAGGACATAATTACCAAGAATATCGAGAATGGACTGTATTTTACAAATGCTTGAGACAATTTTTTTTTCGTACTGGGGATCAAACTTGGGGCCTTGCGCTTGCGAAGCAGGCTTGGTGCCACTGAGCTAAATTCCTGGCCCCTGAAACAGTTTTATGCATGTATGTATGCAGCATGTATGTATGTATGTACCAGGAATTGAACTCAGGGCCTTGCACTTGCCAGGCAGGCGCTGTGCCAATGAGCTACATCCCTGGCCCTATTTATTTATTTAAAGCAGCTCCACTAGGAGGTTGCTTATTCCAACAGCAAAGTCCATCTCCCAGCAAGAGAATGTCCTCAGCTGCACAGTGGTGCCTCCACAGTCCTGGACTGCACACTTCGAGAGGCCAAGGCTTGAGGAGTGTTCTCCATCGAGACCCAAAGAGGTCTGACATGAGGTCCCAACAACAGTCTCCAAGTGTCATTATTACTTCCCCTCAAAACAGGTGGACACATCCCACCAATTTGTTGAAGTACTAGAAAAAATGAGCCCACTTGCCTGTGTGGCTGGCTATGTGGTCAGTGCCTGCCCTGTGGTTGCTCCTTCCCTGTGGCCTGGTTTTGTCTACCCCGTGCAAATTCCACCATTAATCCAAGACTACAGTAAGATGCTTCTGAAAAGCAAAGGTTGGCCAAGGCACCTGGGGAAAGTGCTCTACATGTGCCCTGTCACTTACTCATGGCCTGGTCAAGGTTCATATTGTTGCTCTTCAAGGCCTCTTCAGCAGGCTCTCTCTGTGGAGCAAAGCAGAGTCCTCATTAGCGGGGGACGCTGGTGAACAGCACAGCTGGTAAAGAGGGTAATCACTACTGACTTATGAGGTTTTGGAATTGGAAAAGCTTTTCTCCACTGTGGTGGTTAGAAACCATGTCTTTTAAATGGAAAATGTTTGTAATTTAGTGACTGACCTGCCACCTTGAGTGTCAAAGTCACTGGCAGAGTCAGGGCTCTAGGCTCTATTATATAAACTTTTCCTCATGAAACAGAAAAAGAGCAAGTAGGTTCCTGCTGGTAATTTTCTCTCTGATTGGAGCAGACTAATATTCACGTGCCAGCACTCTGGGAGCTCTGTGATGACCATGTCTCCTGGCCCTCAGGCTTGTCAGTCACCCCAACCAGGGAGAGGGTGGACCCTTCCCCAGAGAGATAGCACCCAGTGTGAGGAACATGAAGCCATTCTGAACCCTTCTTTTAGGGACACCCACCGTAATCAGAAATTAAATACTCATTTGAACCTGGACTTGGAAAGCAGACACTTAATGGAACCACGCGATGAACATGGTTGCCAGCCTTTGCTCTTGGGACCCCTGCTTCCAACCATAGGACTAGAACACGGTGGTATTCTGGGGACTATCCCGTGCTCCAAATTCTTTCTGCACAGCTAAACAGCCTCAGTTAGGATGCTTTTTTGGCATATGACACTTTAGTACTTTATACCAAATTTTTTCTTGTGATCTTCTACCTGGGATCAATCTACTGGATAAATTAATGAAATAAACCTATGGAAAATACAAATCACACAGTTTTATTCTAGGACAAGGTTCTCATCCCTTTCTTGATGGAAACTGAATCTGTGCTGTGGTTCAATGCAGTAACCACTCAGCCTAACTTCCTAAGCCAAAGGGGACTTAAAAGCTAATTAATTAGTTTCTTATCATTTCTCAAAAAGCCTTCCCACCTTGCCATAAACATCAAACACTGATGGAGACAAGTAGGGCTGTTTGCTTAGGGACATGTGGGAGAGTAGTAATAAGACACCAGTCACCGGGAAGCCCATGTCCGTGAGTTGTCTCATCAGCCGGCTCATGACCCAGGCCTCGTCCTGCTTGCCAGGTGTCTTCATGCCCTAAAACAAAGCCCGGGCAGAAGAAAAGGCCACAAATTACATTTTAGTGCATTTCCTCTAGAAATGAGAGACTGTTGAAATTCATGGTGCTTTAAAAATCAGTCTTCTGTATTACAGTTGAATCATGCTGGGCTCCACAATGTCCTTGGTAGTATCTTGGGGCTAACATTACAGGAAACTGCAGGTGCGTGTGCATGTTGGTTGATGTAACTTACGGATTCACAAAAGCAGGGCAATCGTTTCTCTTTCCCAGAGAATTAATTTGGTTCATCATAAATCTACACTATTTCCATGATCAAATAGTCACAAGAACACTCCCTTGAACTTGGTGCTATGTGACATCTACTAAAAATTACATTTTTTCCCTTTTATAAGCTTTATTCTAAGTAATACAAAATGCAGGGGGGTCCTTCTGATGAAAAAAAGGGCAAAAGAGGAAAGGTAGAACAAACCTACTAATTTTGTTAACTATTAATTGCTTATAGCACTCAGGTGAGACGAAAGGAGTAGGCAGGAGAATGTTGGCGGAAAAGGAAGAAGAGAAAAGTGGGGAAGGCAGACTATAGAAGGAAAGAGCAGCCCAGGAAGGGCAAAGGGTGCCAGGAGAGTCAGGTGAGCAAGCTGGGCTAATTATACAACAGCAAAGGCTCTACAGATACAATCACACACACACATACACACACCCCAGGCTGAGGTAGGAGGACCACTTGAACCTAGGAGTTTGAGTTCAGCCTGGGCCAACACAGCAAGATGGTGTCTCTAAATACATACATACATACATACCCCCACCCTGAATATGCTCCATCTTGCTTTTAGAAATTAAGTCCGTTTTAACTAGATAGTGGAACACACGAAGCTATAAAAACTAACAGGCTTTCTGTCCCCAAGGAAATAGCTTATTTGGAGGTTATTTTAATCAATAGTATGCTGACAGAGCCAGATCAGCCAAAATTTGGTACTGGGAATCGAACTCAAGGCTTCACACTTGTCAGGCAGGCACTGTGCCTCTGAGCTACATCTCTGGCCCCCAAATCATATTATTTTAATTTGCTAATTTAGTATTTCTTGTCTTACTGTGATTAGATTACTTGCCAAAACAACTGTAAAGGACTTCCTTTTGATGCCTGTAACCTTTTTTCCTTACGAATGGAAAGTCTGATTGTAGTTTCTGGTTTCTACTTACTGCTTATTGAATGCTTTTCTAATTTCTTTTTTAGGTAGCAATATATTCACACAGTTCAAAAGGACAAAGTGCAAGAAGAGACTCTTCTCTCCATGCCACCTTACAAGCTTGGTTCCTGGTTCTCTCTAAGAGGAAGTCCTCCTTGGTAGAGTCTAATCTTCCTTCTAGAGAACTCAGAATAGTCTACAGAAGCTGTTACATGTACCTAAACTGGGTGGTGTGCTACACACATTTCTGTTCCTTGTCTCATTTAACAATATATTTTATTGATTTTTGAGACAGTGTCTTGCAATGTAGTTCAAGTTGGCCTTCAACTGACTACACATCCCAAGCTGGCCTTGAACCTGTGGCAATCCTCCTGCCTCAGCCTCCTGTGTGCTGGGATTACAGATGTGTGTCACTATGCCAGTTTTGTTGATCTTTTCATATCAATACAGAATTTTCTTTAAAAAATATTTAGCGAGGGCCAGGGATTCAGCTCAGTGGTTTTGCCGCCTGCTGCGCAAGCGCAATGACCTGAGTTCGATCCCCAGTACAAAAAAAAAAAATTTAGCGGAAGTTTCAGTGTCAGCGAGAGGGGTCAAAGGTCAGCAGGAAGTCGAAGAAGGATAGCAAAGCCTTTCATCCAGCTTACGAAGAAAAGTTGAAGCTTGTGGCACTGCATAAGCAAGTTCTTATGGGCCCATGTAATCCAGACACTTGTCCTGAGGTTGGATTCTTTGATGTGTTGGGAAATGACAGAAGGAACGAGTGGGCAGCCCTGGGAAGCATGTCTGAAGAGGATGCCATGGTACAGTCTGTCAAGGTCTTAAATAGATGTTGCCATCTCTTTTCAACATTATGCTGCATCCCACAAAATAGAGAAGGAAGAGTAAGAGAAAAAAAGGAAGGAGGAAGATGAGCAAAGGTGACGAGAAGAGGAAGAAAGAGAACGTCTTCTAAAGGAAGAAGAGAAATGTAGGCGAGAAGAGGAAAGGCTTAGGCGGGAGGAAGAGAGGAGGCGAACAGAAGAAGAGAGGCTTTGGCTGTAGCAGCGAAAGCAGCAGATGATGGCAGCTTTAAACTCCCAGACTGCCGTGCAGTTCCAGCAGTATGCAGCCCAACAGCATTCAGGGAACTACGAACAGCAGCAGATTCTCATCCGCCAGCTGCAGGAGCAGCACTGTCAGCAGCACATGCAGCAGTTGCATCAAGTCCAGCTTGCACAGCAACAGATCTTTAAATTCCCTGGAGATATATCAGTGAGAAGTTAGAAGCTCTGCAGCTTTTGTATAATCCACAAGAGGAGGAAAAGAACATTAAACCAGAGTTCATTCAAGATACTTTTGAGGGATTCTTTTATGTCTTCTATAGCCTGTTTCTACTTCAGTATATTGCTCCCCTTTTTTCTGTTTAATAGGCATTGAGATGATTTTTCACTAGGACAGCTCATATAAACTATCTTGTTCATAGGTTACTCTTAATGAGGAGAAAATCAGTCTAATAGGGCAAATTCAAGAAACTTTGAAGTGCTATTGGAAAGCCACAATTGAGATCGGAATGATCAAACTCAATTTATTAAATTCTTCGGTTGACAGTGTGTGGAAAAAAAATTTTGCCAGCTGTTTCTCAGACAAAGGACTAACATGTAGAGTATATAAAGAACTCAAAAAATCAGACCCCCCCCCAAATTTAAAGACCTAGTCCAAAAGTGGGCATCTGAAATGAATGCACTTCTCAGATGAAGTAGAAATGGCAACAAATATATATAAAAAAGTTCAACATCACTGGTCATTTGAGAGATGCAAATTAGAACAACGCTGAGATTCCATCTCCAGAAAGTATGCCTGTTATCAAGAAATCAACCAATAACAAATGCTGATGGGGATGTAGGGGGAAAATAACCCCGGTGGGAGTATAGAGTGGTGAAATCAGTGTGGAGATTCCTCAAAAAACTAAAACTAGAGGTTCCATTTGACCCAGCTATTCCCCATCTTGGTATCATCTTGAAGGAAAAGCATCATACCACAGCGATATATGCACACCCTTGTTTATATTGGCAGTTTGTAATAGCTAAATCTTGGAAGCAGCCCAAATGTCCATCAGCTGATAAATGGATAAAGAAAATGTCTGGTTTTTTTTTTGGTACCGGGGATTGAATTTGGGTCCTTGTGCTTGCACAGCAGGTGGCAAAACCACTGAGCTAAATCCCCGGCCCAGAAAATGCGTTGTTTTATACAATGAAGTACTACTCAGCCAAAAAGGAGAATAAGCTTGAGATATTTCTAACTAAATGGATGCACCTTGAGACCACACCCTTAAGTGAAATAAACTGGACACACATGTTTAAATACCACATTGTTTCTCTGGTGTGAGAAACCAAAAGTGGAAATAAGGACCAAAATGTATAACAGATATTGGGAAATCAGAAGAAAATGTTCAAATGACAAGGGGAACAAGGGAGAGGGGAAGGGGAAAGGAAAGAAGGGACAAGAGAAAAAAAGAATAGAAGGAAAAAATGGAAACAAAAGCTTTTATAAAGAAGGAAGGGAAGAGGAGTTGAAGGAAGGGGAGGGGAATGGTAAAAAAGAAGCAAGATATATCATGGACAGGTACAAATTCCCAATGATGAGTGTTATCATTATGTACATCTAAAATGTACCAATAAATGTTTTGCTTCAGAAAAAAATATTTAGCCTCCCATATGATGGATGTGGCATAATTTACCCAGCTATCCCACCAATGCACATTTATTTTCATTTTGTTATTACAAAAATGCTATAACAGAATGAGTGGAAACCTCTGTGGTCATTTTGACAGATAGCACCACACTGCCCTCCTTGTAGGTTATGCTAATTTATGCTCCTGCCAGCAATGAAAGAATACTGGTTTCATATAGCTTTGAGAACAGAATGTGTTTATTATTAATGTATTTTCTGCTCTTGGGCCACTGAGCCACATCCTGAGCCCCCAGAGTGTGTTCATTAAACTTTTGGATTTCTGCTGAAGTAGGAGATGAAAAATGGCATCTCTCGGTATTGTTTTATTTGTTTTTGTTTTTGTTTTTTTGGTACCGGATCGAATTCGGGTCCTTGCACTTGCAAGGCAGGTGGCGGAACCCCTAAGCTAAATCCCTGGCCCACTCGGTCTTGTTTTAAATTAATTCTCTTTCTCTTTTTCTTTCTGTAGTGGTGGGGACTGAACCAGGGCCTTCACACTGAGCTACATCTTTAAGATGTTTTTTATTTTATTTTTTATTTATTTTTTTGGTACCAGGGATTGAACTTGGGTCCTTGTGCTTGCGCAGCAGGTGGCGAAACCACTGAGCTAAATCCCTGGCCCCTGGCTAATTTTTAAAAAAATCAGTTTCTAGGCGTTTTCTAAGTATCAGAGAGATCAATCCTCCGTGACAAACATTTTTTTCCAGTATGCTATTTGTCCTTTGATTTTGATTAGGGTATTTTCTCTCATATACAGTTTCTATGTTTACTGTTCTAATCTAAAAATTTAAAAAAATAACTTAGTTTTAGTCATAGCTAGAATGGTCCCTCTTAACTGTAAAATTGCTTCTATAATTCTTCTCATTTATTTATTTGTCTGTTTAGTTTTTGGTTTTTTGACACAGGGTCTCTATGTAGTTCAGGGTGGCCTCAGTCTCACAGCTATCCTCCTGCCTCAGCTTCTCAAGTGCTGGGCTTATAGGCATGTACCACCACGCCTGACTTCTTCCATGTTTTTATTTTTCATATTTAAATTTGTGATGTACTTAGAATTTATCCTGGGATATAGTGGGTTGTGGATATCTTTAACTTTTCTTTTTTGGTACCTGGGATCAAACTCGGGTCCTTGCACGTGCAAGACAGGCGGCGGAACCACTGAGCTAAATCCCCAGCCTGTTGGTTTTTTTTTTGGGTATTGGGGATCGAACTCAGGTCCTTGCGCTTGCGCAGCAGGCAGTAAAACCACTGAGCTAAATCCCCGGCCCCTTGGATCTCAATTTCTTTCAGATGGCTGCCTCTTTACTTAGTGGTCACCTCAGCAGTTCTCAAATGTTTTGGTCCCAGGACCTCATTACACTCTAAAATTAAGGGTCCCAAAGAATTTTTGTTTATAAAAGAGTTGTATCTACTGATACTTACATTTGAAGTTAAAACTGGTATTTAAAAATTATGTTAACATTACTAAAAATAGCAATACCAATTCATTGCATGTTAACATAGATAACTTATTTAAAAGAAAAATAAACATATTTACTAAAACACATTCTTTGAGAAGAATGACACTGTTTCGCCTTTTTGCACATCTCTCTAATGCGTGGCATTAGGCACTGACTGGTTTCTCAGGTGTGTTTCTGCACTCCTTCTGGGTAATCATGATGACTCTGGACAGCTCCATCTGTGATGGCTTGGATCTTCTGTGTCCCCAAAGGCCCATGTGTTGAAGGCTGTTCCTTGGAATGGCACTGCTAGGAAGTTATGTTTCTTTAACATGTCCTGCCGGCTTGAACCACCAGTGTTACAGGGATGACTAGACCATCGAGTGGCTTGTACCACCAGCAGTACAAATGGATCTAATCACTTTTATTGGTCTTTATACTAATAAAATAAAAAGTCTATAAATGGACTGAATCTAGTCACTTGAATTTGAATAATCACTGTCCAAATATAAAAATTAATACTATTCATACCAATTAAAATTATAGTAATCAACAAACATATTAAAATAAACTTACATTCATGAATAGTTTATCAATAATTCTCCAAATTTCAACATGGAAGTCTTATAAGTACGCCATTGCTAATGCATATAACATGGCATTTACAACTGCTGTACCACAAATCAGCTATAATTTTTTATAGCATTTTAATGTTTTCCTTAAGGAACTGAAATGTGATGAGATCTGGTCTGCTAAACCAACTCTTTTCTTTGGATTATTGTAATCCGAGACCCCCTGAGAAGTGGTACTACCCGAAGGGACAGTTATGTATGGACCACTGGTGTTTCAAGGTGGCAGGAATGCTCCAATTCAAACTGGAGCCACCTGGCAGCACAACATATGAATTATAGCCTCGTCGTTAATGTGTTAAAAGGTGGAGTGGACAATCTGGTATTTGGGTCATGGCGTCGGGGCCTCAGTGGTAGTAATGGGACCCCAGCTATTCCTGCTTTCTCTTTTACTTCCTGGCCACGGCATGAGCAGTTTTACTCTACCACATGCTTTCCCAAAGTAGTAAGATCAATCAGTTATGGACTAAAACCTCTAAAGCTGTGAGCCAAAATAAACCTCTCTTTTTCATAAGTTGATTTATTTGTTACAGTGATGGAAAATGGACTAAACACCCTACCCTAGGGAAAGAACTTTCTGGAAAAGATAAAGTCTCAGTACCACAGAAACAGCTTTGACCTTGCTAATCCCTGCAAGGGATTCTCACGGGGACATCTAAAGGTCGAAAATGCACCCTGGAAACCTCAGGTGTGCCCTGCTCTGGAGATGCCACCATAAGCCACTGGCTCTGGAAGTTTCTTCGTGCAGGGGTGCCATGCTTACCTTCTGAAGTCCCTTCTTGGGGGCACTGCCCCAGGAGCCACAGGAGGAGGCGCTTTCTTGGGAAGCAGCATTATTCCACACGTCCCCTTCCTCATCCTCCCACTGGCCAGTGCCCAGGTTCATTTCGTCCCCACCACTGCCCCAGCCTTCTTGCATAGACTTGGAAGCTAGAAAGAGAGCAAACAGAAACTTAGTCAACTTACTATCCCTAAGGTGCAGAATGCTTCACTATTACATGATTTAGGGTGTGTAGGAAAAAATGCATGTAGTGTAATTTACCACTTTATTCTTTCTTTTCCCCAGACATAACTGAATTTCTCCTGCCTTCATGTACAATATGTATGTGTACATTTTTTCCTTCAAAGTCCAGGTGTTTGTTGTATGCTATTCCAAACTTTCTTAACCAACTACAGATCAATTTGAAACCCAGGCATTCTACAAGTAATTCCTGTGTGGCAACCTCTGCCTGGAATGAAAAGGCCACTCAAAAGTAGATTCTTGAGAAATGACATTGTCTTCCATGTAGTTGTTAGTCACATCTTGGTGTAAACCTGTGGGCACTATGTTACATGGGTCAGTGGTTCTCACATTTAGCCCCAAGTGGGAGTTGGTGGGGGCCTTGTGATGTGCAGCTGGTCTTGTGTAGGCCTAGCCACCTGCATTTCTCACAAGTTCCCAGGAGACGTCCACAACTGCAGGACAGAGAGGTCTAGGCAGAGGAAACTCAAATTGGCTACTGAATTTCTACTTTTTCCTCCCTTTGCAAAATACAAAGTGATTTTTGATGTCAAAACTACAGATTTTTACTTCTCAGGAGAACTAGAAAAAAAATCAAAGAATAGGTGACAGTAGTTCGCGAAGGTCTTTAAGATGATGAAAATGTGATGTTTACCAGCTAGGCACATAAATGGACCTCAAGGACAGATTATACAAACAAAATATAGTTCCTCAAAATGGAATGTGAATCTGAACACCCACAAGGTCTCTTAGCCTTTAACTTTGTAACAAAAAGCAGGAAGGATGGAATAGATATTTCTAGCACAAGAGATGGGTAGATGGAACATGTCAGCCACTCAGAAAGATAACAAAATCAACAAAGTTTCATTTTAAGCTCTAGGATATCTAGTGACTGCCTCGAAAATGCTGCTGCTTCTGCAGCCATGTGAACAATTAAATCTGTTATATTTATGTTAACATCACAAGTACCACATTGCAAGACACCCACACGGTATGAGAAGTCCAGGCAATAACAGTAATCTGGACATCTGGAAGACTGTATAGGCATACTCACTACACTTTCAGAAAATGGGGGTGGGCATAACTGATTTCTTTTTTCAAGATTTTTTTAATGTTGGCTACTGAATCCGGCCTCATACACAGTAGGGAAGTTCACACCACTGAGCTATACCCCCAGGCAGATCTTTTTTTCAAGTTGTTTTAAGCATTAAACATGAAGTATCCAGTGAAATTTTGTTTATAAAATGAAAACAAAGCAAGAAGTGCCAACAATGCTACAGATTTCAAATACTAATCTCAAGAGGAAAAAGTGATAGGCTTTATCCATCTTGTTTGGTAAGATAAATTTAAATAGGCAGATACAAAACACCCTGCTAAAGGAGTGAGTACCACTGCAGGTTGCATGCTCCTTGTGAAAATGCCTGGGACCAGAGAAATGGTGGTTCACGCCTGTAATCCCAGCACTCAGGAGGCTGAGGCAGGAGGATCACATTTGAGGCCAGCCTGGACTACCCAGGGACTTCAAGATCAGCCTGTGCTACATAGTGAGACTCTGCCTCAAAAAACAAAACAAAACAAAGCAAAGGGCTGGGGATTTTGCTCAGTGGTGCCTCGCCTGCCTCTCAAGTGCAAGGTCCTGAGTTTGATCCCTAGTACCAAGAGAAGAAAAAAAAAAAAAAGCCTGGAATGAGGTGTTTCTCATTTCAGATTAAAAAAGAATTCTTGTATTATTTGCATATACATAATGAAATATGTTGGGAATGGGACCCAAGTCTAAACATGAAATTCATTTATTTCATAGATATCTTAAATTGTTCAGGGAAACTGTATTTTGCTTTGCCTTTGGGGATACTGGGGATGGAACCAAGGGCCTTATGTGCGCTAGCAAAGTGTTCTACCACTGAGCTATACCCCTGCCTTGTTTATTTTAATTTTAATTTTGACACATGGTCTCACTTAAGTTACCCAGACTGACTCAACTTTTGGTCCCCCAGAGCAGCTATAATTATGTGTGTAGTATCACACCTGGCTCTGAGGGTAATTTTACATAATACTTTTTTTTTTTAGTACTAGGAATTGCACCTAGGGTTTCTGCACTGAGCTAAATACCCTGCCCATTTTACTTTTTAAATTTTGAGACAGGATCTCGTCAGTCAGGCTAGGCACAAATTCTTGATCCTCTTACCTCAGCCTCCCAGAGTGCTGGGGTTTCAGGCCTGTGCCACTACACTTGGCAACATGGTATTGTTAGTGTTCCTGTACTTTGACTGTGACCTGACACATGAAGTTAGGTGTAGAATTTTCAACAAGTGGTGTCATGCGGAACATTGTGGATTTGGGATTTTCAGACTGGGAATGCTGAACCTGTAGTACTACCAAACATGTACGCTTAATTGCTTTTATTCTTGTATTTATTTTTAAAAGGAGGACACGGATTCTTGTTAAAAGCTTTTTTGTGTTCATGTATGAGACATGGAAATATTTTGTTACAGTCTTGGCTTAAAGTTAGTCTTAAAGTGTACACTGAGTAAGAAAAAATGGTCTAAAAATTTAATTTTTTTTTTTTGGTACCGGGGATCGAACTCGGGTCCTTGCGCTTGCACAGCAGGTGGCAAAACCACTGAGCTAAATCCCCGGCCCTAAAAATTTAATTTTTAGAATTCAATGACAGCTTGGGGTAGCTTTGTGGTAAAGTACACATTTAGCATGCACAAGGCCCTGAGTTCAATCCCCAGTACCCAGCATTCAGGAGGCTGAGGGAGGAGGATCATCCAAACTGGAGGCCAGCCTGGGCTACATAGCTCAGTGGTTTCGCTGCCTGCTGCGCAAGCACAAGGACCTAAGTTCGATCCCTGGTACCAAAAAAAACCCCCAACCAACTCAAAATAAAACAAAACAGAGCAAAACAACAATCCCTAGTACCAAATAAAATAAAAATGAGATGGCTTAAAATAAAAGTGTGCTCTAAAATTCCATGACAAGGACTCCTTGAAATCCTCTGAACCACTTCTAAATGACCAGATCAGGGCATGCAGGATGCTCAGCTCACCTGGTTTGCACAGGGCTGGGGTGGCAGTGGGTGCGCCAGCTCTTCCAAAGGTCACTGCTGGCTCAGCAGGGTGATCTCCCCACCCGCTGCCACTGCTGGGTGGCTTCCCCCATGCTGCTGTGCCATTATCGACCAGGGTGGATGGGGAGGAAGGCTCTCCCCACGCATTTTCAGTCTTTGAGTGAACATTAGGCATTTCTCCCCAGCCTGATGAAACTGCAAAGGAGCCAAAGAAAGGAAACGATAAAAGTGAAACTGGGAAGGGCTGGGGATTTAGCTCAATGGCACCGCGCCTGCCTCGAAAGCACAAGGTCCTGAGTTTGATCCCCGGTACTCAATTAAAAAAAAAAAAGTGAAGCAGGGAAAAAGTAAATGTGATTCAGCTTTCAAAATCAGCTCAAATGGTAGTCATTCAGCATCTGCTAAGAGCTCACTTGACTTGCTGACAGCCACACTGTGACAGTTCCTATCATTTCAGAGAGGAGATGTGAATATTTTCAAGTATAACCAGATGAGAAAACACCGGACTCTGCATGCAAGAAAAAGCTTGTGGTATAATATGTAATTAGTTAATGTAAGTTTTAAATTATTTGGTCTCAGCAAGGGTATATGAAGTCTATTAATTTTCTTACTAAAGGTAGCATGAAATCAGTTCCCTTGATGGACTTTATCGTTTATTAGGATAATACTGATTAATGACAAAAGGACATGCAACCTATGAATCATTTTAAATTACAAGCTGAGCTTATGCTGAAGCAATAGGTTATGCAAACTGTTATCAATAATAGTGGAGCTATCCCAAACAACATATATTGGGGAAAGTAGTTTTACACACTGAAGGGACAAAATTAAATCTGGGAAATGAACACAGCTGATAAAAATTATGGATGCTTTGGGAAGTTAAAAAGTAAGTATTGCTAAAGACCAATCAGCTATGAAAAACTGATTTACTGTAGATAACTCAACAGTGAATTCACCTAAAATTTGTCATTCCTATACTTCCATCCCTTTGAAAGATAACACTATAATTTTTTTTACAGCTTATTTAACTAAGTCAAAACTAAGAATAAATATGAAGACTATGTTAATTATAATTAATTGCTTTTTATACAAAATTTTAAATTTTTGTTAAAAGCAGAAAAAAATTCTACAGAGTATTTTATGAAGAAGGCAAAAAATTTGCAAGCTTAATGTTTCAAAATCTTAGAAACAAATGGGAGAAAACTTGATCACTCAAAATCAAGAAAACAATCTTTTCACTTTAAATTGACTTCTGGCAAGACTATTAATATACATGCAATACCAAACTCCAGGTAAACTTCAGGATATGTGTGCTGACAGTCTACAGGCCGTAGAAGAAACTGCAAATTGGGATACTGTACACCATATAATTTGGGTGCAAACAAGTGTTTTCAGTAAGAAATAATTTTAAATATGTAACATTAAAACAATTTCTACTGTTCAGCATTTACTGCTAGAGGGAGTGTGGTATCTTTTTAGTTATTTTAAAGTTGGTTGATGAAGTAAAACAAATTTCTACTTTCAATTAAAACATTCATATTAAACATTTGAAAATGATCTTTCTAGGGCTAGATATGCTCTGTGGTAGAGCATAAGCACAAGGTCCAGCCTTCAATTCTCAGCATCACTAAAATAAAATAAAACAATCCTTTAAGTACTACCATTTTTTGGGGTTCTGGAATCATGTCCTTTCCATTTCTTCACTGAATAAATACAGAGTTGAGAATATAAAATAACAAAAAAACACCACCAGGATATGTAGTTTTCACTCAGTTTTGTAAACTCTCTTTTTGGTGCTAGGGATTGAATCCAGAGCCATGTGCACTCTAGGGAAGCACTCCAGTGCTGGTTTACCTCCCAGCTGTTTGGATCCATCCTTTCATAAATGCCATAAATTAAGCCAGCAGATGGCATTCTGTCTTCTGTGAAAGCAATAATCAGTTCTAGCTGGTTCCATGGACTCAAGTTACAGTTTCATAAGTGTCACAGGCAGTCCTTTTTTGGGAAGAAAGGTTTAAACAGTAGGCAGTTAGATAATTAAGTAAAAAAAGATAAAGGAGTAAAAATTAAACGGATTAGTCATTCATTGAGGGCTTGCTATTTGGTTGGCATTTTAAGGGACTTAAGTACTGGATTATGAGGCCTGATTTTCCTGCAAGAGCAGCTTGGCACTGACTTAGGTGCACTAAAAGCTTCTTGTCTGAAACCAGGATGGTGGTTTATGAAGTGAGATCGCAGCCAGAAGAGTATACCCTCTTTTTCCAATGCTTGGTCTTGTGGGCTTCTGAGACTCTTTTTTTTCTGGGGATTGAACCCAGGGCCATGGCACCAACCTACACTCCAGGCTTTTTTTTTTTTTTTTTGAGACAGGTTCTAAGGGCCTGGCTGGGCTTAAATTTGTGATCCGCCTACTTTAGCCTCCTGTGGTGCTGGCATTATAGGCATGCACCGTCATGCTTGGCTTTGATGTTTCTGTTCCACATCAGGGGTCACTACTGGAGGGCATATTTGAGGGGACACTACTAAAGGGATAAGGGTCCTGTTGAAAATCTGGTCATGGCCCGGTGGCTTCTCTTACAAGAGCTCCTGGGGCTGGGCACAATACACACACACACACACACACACACACACACACCATGAAGCTGGTCTCAATAGGTCACCATGTGGAATAAGTGAATAGGCCATTATGAACAGTAACAGAAAATTATCTTAGTCAATCCTTTTTTTGGTTGAGACAGGGTCTCACTATGTAGTTCAGGCTTGAGTCCAGGCTGGCCTTGAACTCAAGCTGATTCTCCTGCTTCAGCCTCTGAAGTGCTGGGATTATAGGTGAGCCCCACCAACCCTGGCTCAGTCCATCTAGACCTGAGTGCATTAGCACAGATTTCAAATGTGCTCTTTCTTATTGGTGGCTGCACTGTTATTTTCAACTAAGGGATTCATTTATTCTGAATTGAAGGACCTAGCAGAACTTTTGTGTGTGTAGTTCACCTATTTCATATGACAGGTAGAAAATGATAAGCAACCTCCCCACTCCCACTTCGGCAGCACGTCTCAATTCCCTAGGCTCCTTCTATGTTAGCTCTCCTTACTGAATCCTTCAAAACACAGGAAAGCAAAAGCAACCCTGTCCCACCACCCTCCATTCCATAGTCACAAAGAGCTGTGATCACTCAGCTCATTCCTTTTAATGATTACTGTATGTTGCTTAATAGGATGGAATTTCTTTTGGCTGGAGAGGTCACTGGAAGCTATTTCTGGATTGGTGGTATAAAAACAGGTGAGCTGTAATATGGTAGATAGGTAAGTTAATTAGATATCTTATAGGCAATTAGACAGGGATGGCCTTTCCAGGAGTCAATACAAAGACAATCAGACACATTTAGTGGTTAGCATTGTAAAAAGAGACTAGAACCACACCCACTTATTTCCCCTGGGGATAAATAGCAGTGACTGATATTCTGTTATCTGAGTAATTATTTCTGATTTCATTTTTCCCAGATCCTCTTTTGTTGTCAGTTCAGAGAGTCCAGGTGGTTGAGTATCAGATTGTTCCATCTCGTTTCCCTTTGGGGTTGCTGTAGGTGATCTGGAAGTCTGTTTTTGAGGCTTGTTTATGTGTCTTCTCATTTCCACAGGGTGTGTTTGAGGGGTGCTTCCTTCCGGGTTCTGGGACTGGCTCAGCTTCTCTGTCCAAGGAGCTTGGGATGGCGGCAGGGGAGCTTCCTTCTGGGTGCTGGAACCGGCTGAGCTTCTCTGCCCTAGGAGTCTGGGATGGAGGCAGGGAGCTTCCTTCCGGGTGCTCGGACCAGCTGAGCTTCTCTCAGAGACTGATACTCTAAACAGGCATCAATCTCCCTAGCCCATTTCCTTTCCAGAAATTCCTAGTGTGCTTGATACACGTGACTTTGTAACATTTTGTATTATACTTTCATAATATTTGTGCCAGAAAACTAAGTTTCAGAGCAACTATCACCAGACTGCCCAAATGCAAAGTCAAGCTTGCCTCTGGCTTGAGACTTTTTACAACCTGCACAAGCCAACCAGAGGGATCATAGCCAGTAAAGCTACAGGCCTGCTGTGGCTAATGAGGGGTATATCTCTTTGAGAGGCCGAGGACAGGCAAGCCAGTGGACACAAACAGCACTCTGCAGTAAGACCAACTCTAGCTGCATAATCCCCAGGGTGTGTCCCCTTTCTCTTTCCCTCCCCTTACTTTTTTTTTCTGCTGGTGGGGATTGAACCTAAGGTCTGAGGCACACAGGGTGAGTGTTCTACCACTGAGCCCCATCCCCAGCCCTCCAGGGTTGCTGACTGGCATATGGGACTAATATTTTTACTTTCTCCCAGGGTAGGAAGACAGGTAAGTCCATGACCCCACTGTGCTGCTGGTTTAGCTTGGCTCAAGTTTATACTGGCCTCCATAACTGACTGAATTAATTATACAGCAATCTTTCTTTCCACACCAATCCCTTTCAAACCACCTGTTTTCTGGTGAAACCTAGTAAGAGTTCAGGGGTGAAAGAACCACCTCTGGAGGCTCTTCCTCAATCACATTTGGATTCAGAGTCAACTGTGAGGCTCTGTTATGCACCACTACTCAGTAGCATTAGTTTTTTCGTGTGTCCACGATTTTTTTTTGGTACTGGGGATGGAACTCAGGACCTTGCACTTGTGAGGCAGGTGCGGTGCCACTGAGCTAAATCCCCAATCCCCTACAAGTTGATTTTTAGGTGTCCTAGAATATTTATTTCTAAGTGTATTAGGTAATCAGGCTGCTAAATATTTTTAGGACCTGCTTTCAATCCCTTTGCAACATAAGCCAATGCTGTGTTTGCTCTTTCTTGCTCTTGGTCAGCAGCCTGGTTCCACAATAATGTAAAAGCTTCAGGTTCTGGATGTCTGGTTCTGTCAGACTAAGCACTGTCATCAAGAAGAGGTGTGTGCCACACCACTGGATGTACAGCTTCATGAGTCCTCCTCAGGTAGCTTATACATTCTCATAAATAGACAGGTTCAACAAGCACAGCATATACTTGTAATCTCAGCACTCTGGGAGAACGACACAGGAGGACTGACAGTTTGAGCCCAGGCTGAGCAATTTAGTGACTCAGTGAGAGCTTGTCTCAAAATAAAAAATAAAAAAGGGATTAAGGGATCAAAGAACTAAATGTTAAACCAGAAACACTTAACCT